TGCAAGATATATACTCCTAATTGATGTAAATACTTAATAAAATGAATAGGCATTGTTTTTGATCTCTTGTTCTTTGCTCTGTTTTTTGGAATGAGGATAGTTAATTCATAGATGGAATAGAGGCATTTGTTTGCTCTGTTGTAAGCCATTACAGTGTGGCTTGCAAGTATACAATATCCAGTTGGAACAACTTACGGCGGAATGTTTACATAATGTATTTGAAATTTATAAGAAGGCCAGTTGTGTTTTTCTACTGCACCAATCTTTGATGTGATGATTATTTGTTTTTGTCAGGTTCTATTTGTGAAAAGAACAAAAGCCTCAAGTTGGTGCCCGGGAAAGGTAAAAAAACTCTATGTTTGTGATGGGCATTATTTTGTTGAAAATGAATTATTTGGTTTGGTTGAAGTGTGCTCTTATGACCTATTTGGATTTATTTGGTATTGCTAATGAGTAGTATTTGTATTTTTTAAATTATTTATTTGGACACATTTTGATTTTAATATGAAATGATTTGATTTTGTTGGACCAAATCCCAATACAATAACATAGAAGTCCGTTGGGCCGGGGGCGACTCCGCCCCCCCCCCTCCCGCCCCCAGACCCCAGGCAAGAAGTGGGTGTATTGGGTTTTCTCTGTGTTGGTTATTGTCTTACTGGTCTGCCTCATTAGCTTGCTAACTTCTTGAGAAGAACAATTGAGAGGAGAAAAATGACAAGATTCTAGGCAATAAAAGTCCACAGATATCTTCTTTCTTCTTTTTTTGGACGAGTTTTAGAAAGTTTTACACTTGAAAAGCATTGTGCCACTCGAAAATTCTGAATAGTTATATAAGAGTTCGTTAAGAACAAGTCTGTGAAAAAAGACAACCTTTATCAAATGAAGCAGAAGAGCTAAAGACTGCATATCTTCTTCAAGGAAGGCTTAAATGTTGAACGGCAGTCCAGCTTTGATTGGCCATAAAGACGTTTGCTTACACGAAAGCAACTGTGCAATGCAGTGGTAAAAGAGAATGGCTTCTAGTCTGTATTTGTATTTATTTTTTAATGATATGAACTTTTGATTTAGTTTTATGCTTGTAGAATGTATATTACATGATATGCCTTGAATCTAACGGTTTATGCTGCACAGATCTAATTTGAGGAAGTAATGTTTCGTTCAAAGCGTACCTTTGAAGAGTATCAGCACTTGCTTGAAAACGAAGGCGGATCTCCAAACGACTTTACTATGCATGATAGAGATGAAACTTATAGTGAAGAGGATAATCACTTTTGGCATCTGTCT